GTATATAAACAGTGCCAATAAGAATCGTGGTTTTCATTCTAGGTCACAAAAAACGCGGAGATAGCAAAGATCACACTGGATATCTATAGTGGTATATAATTATCAACGTGTGGTATATGGCCAAATTATTGTTTTGGTCAAGGTACCAATGGTAATGATTATTGCATTATACCAAAAGATTTGGTCCTTTATTTTTCTTATGGCTTTATATAGTTAACGAAAAAAAGAAAAAGTAATGGATACTATGAGTGTCTGCAACAAAATGAAACACTTTTGGATATACCGAGGAATGGGCCACAAAATGAAATTGAGCGATTTCATAATATCAACGCCAGATTACCCTGAAAAGTTAAAAGGTAGAATTTGACCATGACGTCTTCAAATACGAGATTAATCCTGGTAATACACAGTTTGAGTAATATTGCTTATTTCACATTTAGAATTAGTCTTCATAATTCACGATCAGTGGTCGAATTTTAACACCTGCACAAGTAGTTAAAAGAAAGGCTTCAAAATGTTTTCATTCATAATAAGATTGTATAATAAGTGTTACGAAGTAAAAATTAAACACTGGTTGTTCAGAATGCAATTTCAGTTTATTCTGTTTTTCTTTCTGATACAGGGATTGGCAACCTTCAACAGTTTTTCAGGATATAACCAAGAAAGACAGGAGTATTTTACAGCAAGTGAAACCTGTAGACAGAGGGTGGTAAGAACTGTAGTTCGGTTACCTGGATGTCTCCCTAAGGCAGTGGTTACATTTGCTTGTCAAGGGACGTGCCATTCAAGAAATATACCGGAATGGAAATTTCGAGACCAATCATTGAGGATGGTTGAGCACTGTACTTGTTGTCAACCTCATTCTGTACGTTACCGTAACGTAACGTTCGATTGCACAGGAGTTGGTGAAAATGATCGTCGTGTTGCTGTTTTATTTGATTGTGCTTGTAGACCATGCTCTGGAGCTGATCCGTCGGCAGAAAAACCATATGACTATGATTAAGACGTTATTGGAACTTCAGACTATAAACTATATACTTTTATGTTCAATGCTTTCGGACCACATTTCCTTTTTTCTGCCAAGATGCTAATGGATGTGGAATGTTTTTTGCATTTTTAAACTGATGTTACCTGCAAACATATATGAGCTTTCCAAAGAATTAGAAGATTGAGTGGAGTGGAGTATGAAAGAGAGTTTTCCATGGACCCCCAAAATATAGAAGATGATGACCAAATTATTTTTATTTATTATTTAGTTGTGCAGATAGGGCGAGGGTGTCTAAGTTGAAAAACAATCAAGGTTCGTTTAGGCAATACCCTATTAATTATTTATGATTGAACTGAAGAATCACTTATAAATGCTATGTGCCGTGATAACCTCGGATCTCTTTATTCTGTTTGTTTGATCTCTCTGTTTGGTCTATCTTATATTTTCACCATATTAAAGGTAATTCCACGTTAAATATGGTACTATTGTAGCAAGCAATCTGGTGTTCCGAATGAATGAAATACCGAGGGCCAGTTAAAGCAGAAATTATCTCATCTTCACAATGGTCAAGGTACTCATCTTATACTTGGCAAATGGCGAATACAGCCAAAGTGAGATCTTACAAAATTTTTTGTAAAAAATAATTACGCATGAAATTGAGGGCCCTAAGTCGCTGTATTCACAGGCAACAAAACAGAACGCTGAGATGAAGACATAATACCTTGACCATTGTGAAGATGGCATTATCTAGGATAGAGAATTTCAACATGTTCCTGGTCAGTCATGTTGACTGAGAAATGAAAAAGTGGTATAAGGAAAAACAACATGAAACGTCCAATAATTTGTAATGATTAATGATTTATTTAAGTCTTGACTGATAGTGATGATATAAAATATGTTCTATAAAAACAAATATAAAGGATGATTCTTTCATCTTAACAATAGCAAGTTATTATAACATATAAATCTTTTCAAAACTTAACATTTACAACAAAGAATTTCACATATTTTCTATTGAGTACAGTATATGAACCTGAGTTTTGGAAACTAGAAATTCAGTTTAAATACTTCTACAAACAGCACTTAGTTAGAGAAGCAAAGTATTCAGTAAACAAGTCATTGAAAGTAAATGTAGAGAGGTTTTCTAAACAAATTTAATGGAATTGCAATATCTGACTAAAAATAGA